GCCTCTCTTCCCTGCTTGTACGTGTTCGACGATAGACAGAGCGAGGTCGAGGAGAGAAGGGGGGGGCTTCGTGTTTTGTGTGCCTGAGGGAGCAGGCGCTTCTGCCAGAATCGAAAGTGTTCTGACGTGGTGCGGAACGGGTGGGGCATTGGTTCATGGAACATGCATTTGGTGACCTCTGTCCAATTCATTCGATTGATCGAGTAGTCGAGGGGTTGTCTAGGATGAGTATGATTGACTGGTTGATGGGTGGATATGTGGATCGGTGATTGATGGTCTAATTACCCCCACTTTGGGCATTTAGCTTTGACGTTCCTCGAGGTTAGTTAAATGCCCAAAGGAGTAATTACAGTAATCGGCGATTAGTTAATTGCGTAATTACTAATTCGCTGATTGGATCGGCTGATTAAGATTAAGAACGTGAAGCTAGATAACCTCTGTGCTCCAGCTTGTCACCAGTCACCAGAGTACGGCTTGCCTTCCGTTTTCCCCGCACTGGCCGCCCCCCCCCGTCCGCCCGTCTCGCTTCTCTCCCCCTCCCCCCCTTTCCACGTCCTCCTCCTCCTCCTCCTCCTCCCCCTCCCCCTCTCGCCGCCCTCTTGAAAGAAAGAGGGTGGTGAGGGTGGGAGGGAGGGGACGGCTTTCGAAAAGCGCATATCGAAAACTTGACGCCCCATCGAATTACTCTGTACGCAGGTTGCGTACATTTGCCGAAGTAGGAATTGTGAGAAAAAAACGTTTCGAGGAAAAGTTGGGGCTTTTTCGGAGCACCATGACAAGATGCCTTTGAGGGAAGAGGTAGAAAAAGAATATGTAGAACAAGAGAGGGAAGAGGTAGAAAAAGAATATGTAGAAAAAGAGAAAATGGAGAAAGTCGGAAAGAAAGAGTGTTGGATTTCGCTGAAGTAGCTGACGACTGTATTAAGTGTATTAGAATGTAAACGTTAAAGATGAGTAAACAGCAAACGGGATAAGTAAGCGGCGAAGATGAGAGCTATGGAGTTCCCTCTTTTCTCGCAGTGGGCTCGTTTGTAAATAGCAAGTATTGCCTGGTGGCTGGATGAAGCAAAACCCATAATCCCCCATCTCCTTCCCGGCCCCCCTCTCCTCCTCTCTCATCCCTTCCCCTCCTCTCCCCCCCCCCCCCCCCAGCCCTTCCTCTCGTTAAGGACTGGTTAGGAGGGAGAAGATGGAGGGGAAAAATGTGGCATAAGAAATCCAGTGCAATCGATAGGTCGAAAGGTCATTTTCGTGTCAGTTCCGTTGTGTTACGGTCGAGCCCCATGTCCTCTTCCAGGCCCTCTCCCACCCCCCTGCGCCTCCAAACCCCTCGAGGGCTGTGCAGAGGGGGGGGAGAGGGGGTGGTGCGTGAGGGCTCCGCCTTGTCCCCAAAGCAGATGTGAAGAATGGCAATGCCTTTATTATCGAGTGAAATATTGATCCTCTCGTCTACATCCTATCCAGCAGAAGCTCGTTCCCCCYCCCCCCCCCCCCTTAATAAAGGGCGACGGCCTTGAAATATCATCATCGAACTGACCGGCCCTAGGTGATTCAGAATTGTAGTATTTACCCAAGAGCCAGCTCAGTGGGTACACCCATGGACTATTGAATTGCAGACCAGAGTTCGAATCCAGATGATGGTTCTTGATTAACAAAACCAGATATTTCTGAATTGCCTGAATTGCCTGGGGCCGGTCAGCTCAATGATTATATCTCCAAAAAAAAAAAGAAAAAAGAAAAAAAAAAAAAAGAAAAAAAAGAAAAAGAAAAGAAAAGAAAAAGAAAAGAAAAGAAAAAGAAAAGAAAAGAAAAGAAGAATTGTAGTATTTTACTCAGCTGCTTCAAATGGAGTTTGAACTCAGGTTTGTCTTTCAACAGTTTAGGGGTGTACCTTCTGATCTTAGGCAATGTGGTTGAATAAGCTCGTTTTTCCCTCTTTCGTTTTCTTCTTTTTTTTTCTTTATCCTTTCGGAGCCTACAGCCAACACCCAAGGCAAGGCAGCCCTTTACTTGTTAACCAAAAAAAAAAAAAAAGCGAAATTCGGGAAAACAGGCGGAAAGAAGTGGGGTAACGTAACAGAGATGCAGTGGATTGGATGTTCCATGCCACGTGTCAAGCACCAAGCTGATCCCCACTTGCGTACGTCTGGAACACCTAACCTATCTTCTTCTTCTTCTTCTTCTTCTTTTTTGCTCCCCCTAACTCTTCTTGTTCCCCCCCCCCCCTTCCCCCCCTTCTTTCCCCCCTTAACCTCTTCTTCTCCTCATTCCTACCACCCTCGGTCTGTTCTTTGGATTGAGAACGGTTCATACGTGATTGCATGACGTCCCTTATTTTTTTATCCCACCCCCCCTCCCTCTTGTTTGATTATTGCCTCCCTCTCTGCCTTGGGTTTCGGGGTAGCGTCTACGGTCACTTCTTGCGGTTGGTATGTTCTACTACACCCACCAGTAGCTGGTGGAAAATCAGCCTTAGTACCCCTGGAGTCAGGCGGAAAGGATAAAAAAAAAGATATTTGACCCGTCAGATCGACAATCTAACCGACCCGGTGAAAAAGGATGAGCCTCCTACTAAACCATGGTGGTCGTGAAAGGCAGGTAGTGGTGGTGGTGGTTTGAATCACCACCTCTGCGGTTAGTTGTCGGGCACCACCGTCGTTATCGCGCAAGCCAGCGTTTTCCCCTTGCTCCTTCGTATATGGATTTTATATCAGTTGCCAGTCTTTTTCTCCCATCTCCAGGGGTTGAACCGATTTTCCAGAAGCTACCGTACTGGTGTGGCTTAAACCCACACTGATGCATCAGCATGAAATAGACAGTTGGCATTGCCTCGAGTCTCACACCGTTGTTATCGCCTTGTGTCTTGCGATGATGATGATGATGATGATAATGATGATGATGATGACGAAGATGGATGCTGGAGTGATAACGAAAAAAAACAATAAATGGAAAGCAACCGGATCGCTGCATTATGATGATGATGATGATGATGATGATGATGATGATGATGATGAAGATGACGATGATGATGATGAAGATGACGATGATGATGATGATGATGATGATGAAGATGACGATGANGATGAAGATGACGATGATGATGATGATGATGATGATGAAGATGACGATGACGATGATGATGATGATGATGATGATGAAGATGACGATGATGATGATGAAGATGATGATGATGATGATGATGATGATGATGATGGAGTGGAGGAGAAAAAACAATATATGGCAAGCAACCGTATTGGTTCATTAATTAACCATATATACTGATACGGGACCTGACACTCTTTCTTGTCTGACATTCTTCAACATCTTCGTTTTATTGTTACTAATACATAATACATATCTATATACAGCGGATGGCCTTGTTCGTCATCAACATGTTGATATTCCTATGGGTGCAAACGCTGGTCCTGAGATTGCTGACCTTACACTCTATTGGGATGAGGCGCAGTACGTGGACAACCTGCAGCGTGTGGATCCCGCTGCAGCTTGCCGATATGCTTTCACTTATCGGTTCATTATTGATGTCCTTACCTTTAATTGTCTGCCACCATCGCCAGCCTGTTATAGTCTTGAATGGAAGGAGACCGCTGCGGCAGATGGCTCGTGCACCTTCTTAGGTGCGAAACTGCAGACACGAGCAGACGGATCTCTCCGATTCAGTGTGTTTGATAAGGCTGTTGCATGGGATTCTCCTGTTATAGGATATCCTAGTGCAACGTCAAACATTCCATCTCATCAGCCTGCAGGTGTGTTCACCGGCCAGCTTACGCGGTTTGAGCAGATAGATTTGTGACAATTGGCATATGATTTGATTTCAGAACTGTGCGGCAACCATGGTTGGCCGCCGTCTGCTTTCCCGTGGCCATGCTCCTTGGACATTGGCCCGAGGATGGACTTGTTACACTCGTGCTCGCCAGCGTCGACACCCCATACATGTAACTCGTCTTGCACAATGGTTTCGCCGTATGATGCTTCGCTGGTCCTGCATCATCCTCTTCCGCCTTCTCCTCCCCTTTCCTTTCCTTCTCCTTCTCCCTCTCCCCCTCCTCCCCCTTCCTCTTTTCCATCTTC